ATAGCAACATCCAAGTAACTCCAAAGAGTCAGATAGGTCCTGAAGTCCCAGCTCAATGGCAAGAACAAGATCTAAGCTATCAACAAATATGCTCTAGGGGTCATCAGGTACCCAGTTGGAATAATAACTTGGCCAAGAGAAGAACTGGTCACCATAAATGGCAAGAACCGGAAACTACTCAATATAAATGGAGGATTCCACCCAAAATCCAGTACCCAGAGACTGTACACCAGCCGTAAGGAAGGAGGTCGGGGCCTGATGAGTGTCAAGGCCACAGTACTGAATGGAACACAGAGCATCCAAAGGTACATCACGAAGATGGCTCCTAAAAATGAACTGCTAAGGGAATGCCTGAGTCAACAACAGATAAAGGATGCAGAAAAAGAAGAGATTCCATGGCAAGACAAACCTCTCCATAGGGTGGAGATAATGGATGTGGCTCACATGGCAAAATCCTACCAGTGGTTGTAGAAGGAAGGACTGAAAGATAGCACTGAGGCACTAATCCTAGCAGCACAGGAACAGGCACTCAGCACCAGATCAATAGAAGCTGGAGTCTACCACAACAGACCCCAGGTGCAGACTGTGTAACAAGGCCTCTGAGACAGTCCAGCACCTAGTAACCGGATGCGAGATGTTAGCAGGAACAGCATACATGGAGAGACACAACCAAGTTGTTGGGATTGTGTAGTGAAACATCTGCACAGAATATGGATCGGACCTGCCTACGTTCAGATGTGAGATACCACAAAGGGTAGTTGAGTATGACAGTGCTTCATTTGGGACTTCAAGATCCAGATAGACAAGCAAGTGCTGGTCAACCAACCCAACATAATGGTAGTAGACATGGAATGGAAGAATGCAGTCATGGTGAATGTGGTAATACATAGTGTCTATAACATCAGGAAAGAAGAACATGAGAAATGCCATGGGCTGAAAGAAAAGCTAGAAAGGATGTGGAAAGTGAAGGCAGTAGTAGTCCAAGTTGTGATATGAGCACTTGGGGCTGTGACTCCCAAGTTGGGGGAGTGGCTTCAAAACATTCTAGGTGGGATATCTGAGTTTGCTGTCCAGAAGAGTGCAGTTCTAGGAACAACTAAGATACTGCGTAGAACCCTCAAACTCACAGGCTTCTGGTAGAAGACCCGAGAATTAGGAATAAACATACCACCCAGGAGGGGTGAGAAAACTTTAAATATGTATTTATGTGTATATATACATGTGTGTGTGTGTGTGTGTGTGTGTGTGTGTATGTGTATATATATATATATATATATATATATATATATATACACACTGCTCAAAAAACTAAAGGGAACACTTAACACAATGTAACTCCAAGTCAATCACACTTCTGTGAAATCAAACTGTCCACTTAGGAAGCAACACTGAGTGACAGTCAATTTCACATACTGTTGTGCAAATGGGATAGACAACAGGTGGAAATTATAGGCAATTAGCAAGACACCTCCAATAAAGGAGTGGTTCTGCAGGCGGTGACCACAGACCACTTCTCAGTTCCTATGCTTCCTGGCTGATATTTTGGTCACTTTTGAATGCTGGCAAATGCTTTCACTCTAGTGGTAGCATGAGACGGAGTCTACAACCCACACAAGTGGGTCATGTAGTGCAGCTCATCCAGGATGGCACATCAATGCGAGCTGTGGCAAGAAGGTTGTCTGTGTCTGTCAGCGTAGTGTCCAGAGCATAGAGGTGCTACCAGGAGACAGGCCAGTACATCAGGAGATGTGGAGGAGGCCGTAGGAGGGCCCAACCCAGCAGCAGGACCGCTACCTCCGCCTTTGTGCAAGGAGGAACAGGAGGAGCACTGCCAGAGCCCTGCAAAATGACCTTCAGCAGGCCACAAATGTGCATGTGTCTGCTCAAATGGTCAGAAACAGACTCCATGAGGGTGCTATGAGGGCCTGACGTCAGGTGGGGGTTGTGCCGCACAGCCCTACATGTGCTCGCCAGAGGTAGCCTGACTGCCATTAGGTACTGAGATGAGATCCACAGACCCCTTGTGAGACCATATGCTGGTGTGGTGGCCCTGGGTTCCTCATGTGGCTGGAGTATGTCAGCAGTTCCTGCAAGACGAAGGCATTGATGCTATGGACTGACCCACCCGTTCCCCAGACCTGAATCCAATTGAGCACATCTGGGACATCATGTCCTACTCAATCCACCAATGTCACATTGCACCACAGACTGTCCAGGAGTTGGCAGATGCTTTAGTTCAGGTCTGGGAGGAGATCCCTCAGGAGACCATCCGCCACCACATCAGGAGCATGCACAGGCATTGTAGGGAGGTCAAACAGGAACGTGGAGGCCACACACACTACTGAGCCTAATTTTGACTTGTTTTAAGGACATTACATCAAAGTTGGATCAGCCTTTAGTGTGTTTTTCCATTTTAATTTGGAGTGTGACTCCAAATCCAGACCTCCATTGGTTGAAAAATTTTATTTGCATTTTTTATTTTTTGTGTGATTTTGTTGTCAGCACATTCAGCTATGTAAAGAACAAAGTATTTCAGAAGAATATTTAATTCATTCAGATCTAGGATGTGTTATTTTTGTGTTCCCTTTATTTTTTTTGAGCAGTGTGTGTATGTATGTGTGCATGTGTGTGTGTATAATGTCATTAACAAATCAAATCCTTCTAGACAACATAATAGTTGTTGATTGATGATGATGATGAAGAATATGAATTTAAAGAAATTCTTGATTTCAGAGTGAAATTCAATAAAATTGCATATTTGGTTAAGTGCAATTGTTATGGTTTTGAGGAAAATTTGTGGATTCCCTATGGGAATTTTCATGTCCTGGAATTACTGTTCACCTTCCATGCTCCTGAAAAACCTTGTAATTTGACATTTATTGCCTTTCAAATACAGTTCCTGGTTTTGCTTAGTAACCTGCCTTGCATGATTTCCTGATCTCAACTTCAACTCTGATATCCTGGTGGCTTATGAGATATAAAACAACCCAAAGACCTTAAGGAGAGGCTCCTTATTGGTGGTGATTGGGTTGAATCTGAATGGTGTTTCTTTTTGCAGTGTATTACCAGAAGCAGCTGGAACGTTAAAGATAAGTGTCTTTTTAATCTAGTTGATAATGAATTATGGCTGTCTAGATAAGCTGTTGCAAGCAGCTGAGCATGTGTAGAATTTAGGTTGTTTTTTAAATTTTTTTATAATTCTTTATTTTTGTTTTGCCATCATAAATTTTACAGTTGTGACAGTACAGAATTTATACAGTTCTCATACATCACATGTTGTAGTCATGGTTTTTAACATTTGGCTTTAATTAATATGGCTATTAGAGTCGAGCAGACACCTGGATGTTAGAGTTCGGGCTCGAACTTGACCCGAACTTGACCCCGAACCCCATTGAACTCATTGGGGACCCGAACTTTTGGGCACTAAAAGTTCTCTAAAAAAGTCCTGGAAAGGGCTAGAAGGCTGCAAAGGGAAGTAAAATTGGGGTAAGAGTAGGACAAGTGCCCTGCAAACAAATGTGGTTAGGGAAATCACTTAAAATAACATAAAATACATAAAAATTAAAAATACAGCTGAGCAATAAGATAGCACTATATGGAATCTTTGATTTTAGCTTTGGAAGAACATAAATCAAAATCTAAAGCATGGCTGTCAGGAGGATCACCAGAATTACCCTTTGGAGAGAGGGTTGGAGTGCAGGGTATTCTCTTTCATTGTTCAAACTGAGCTCAACTCCTGATGCATGGAGAAAAGGCCTTCACAAGCCTCTGCTATTGTGTACATAGTTTATACTAAGTGACCCATAGGTTGAGGAGGCGGTGACCATAGCTTTGTAGGTGGAAGCGGCGGTGGAAGAGGAGGAGGAGGTAGCCAATGCTGTTTTTTTTAAATTATTATTATTATTTTTTTTTTATTGGGGTAGCCCCCAAAATATTGGGACATGTAAAAAAAAGCAACATTTGCGGCCTGCGGTGCATTTCTTGCAGTCCAATAACATGTTTAAAACTGTTGGTCTCCACCAGACGTAATGACAGCATTTCAAAGGCCAGGAATTTTGAAATGCTGGCATTCAGGGCCAGGGATCGCAGGTGGGTAGGGGGTACTTCCTCTTTCTCTCCAGAATTTGGGAGATGGACAGCTGAACGTCCCAAACACTGGAGAGAAGGAGGACAGTGTGGAGATGCTTGGGGACGTTGGCGGACGTGGAGGCGTTGCTGCCACATCCTCTGTTTGCGGGATGGCAGGTGCCACTGTCATTCCAGAGGTGGAGGAAGAGGCCGAGACAGCAGCAGAAGAGGAAGCAGGAGGAGCCAGATTCCTTTCTTCGTTTTTGAGGTGCTTACTCCACCACAGCTCGTGCTTTGCATGTAGATGCCTGGTCATGCAAGTTGTGCTCAGGTTTAGAACGTTTATGCCTCGCTTCAGGCTCTGATTGCACAGCATGCAAAGCACTAGTGTCTTGTTGTCAGCACATCGTCTGAAGAACTGCCACGCCAGGGAACTCCTTGGAGCTGGCTTTGGTGTGCTCAGTCCCTGAGTGCGGTGGGCAGTAGCAGTCGTACTGTCTTGGGGATGGCTGCTCCGCTTTTGCACCCTGCTCTAGGAGGAGGAGGTGGATGTGGAGTAGGAGGTTGAGGAGGCGGTGACCGTGGCGGTGTAGGTGGAAGCGGCGGTGGAGGAGGTAGCCAACACTGTTGTTTGTTTGTTTTTTGTTTTTTTTATTGGGGTAGCTCCCAATATATTGGGACATATAAAAAAAGAAAACAAAGAATAAGTGAACTTGAGTATAACAATGGCTGGGTGAGGCCGGTATAAGGCCTCCTCCTCTGCCTTCGCCTTGTGCTTCCACTGAGCCCCCGGTATCAGTTGGAAATGCCCTCAGTAGCGCGTTTACCAGCGTGCGCTTGTAGTCGCGCATCTTTAGATCACGCTCCAGTGAAGGAATTAAGGTCGGCACATTGTCCTTGTAACGGGGATCCAACAGGGTGGCCGCCCAGTACTCAGCACAAGTTAGAATGTGGGCAACTCGGCAGTTGTTGCGCAGGCTCTCTGGTGTCTCTAGATAACCTCGGGCCGATTGCATGTCCCCGTGACGGCGACAACGCATTCGGATGTCTGCCCTATCAACTTTCTATGGTACTTTCTGCACCTACCATGGGTAATGGGAATCAGGGTTCGAGTCCAGAGAGGGAGCCTGAGAAACAGCTACCACATCCAAAGAAGGCAGCAGGCGCACAAATTACCCACTCCCGACGCGAGGAGGTAGTGACGAAAAATAACAATACAGGACTCCTTTGAGGCCCTGTAATTGGAATGACACTTTAAATCCTTTAACGAGGATCTATTGTAGGGCAAGTCTGGTGCAGAGCGACTGGCCCGAGCGTGATGCAGCTAAAACTCCCCTATCGCCTGCTGCTGCTCGCACAGTCTCTCCAGCATGTGCAAGGTGGAGTTCCACCTTGTGAGCATGTCGCATATGAGGCGGTGAGCAGGGAGGCTGATAACTGTTGTAATTCTAGAGCTAATACATGCCGACGAGCACTAGGGGACAGCCGCTCCACTTTTGCACCCTGCTCCCTCTTATGCTGTGCTGGTGTCTCTGTGCGACCACCGCCTCTTCCTCCAAACTGCACACGTCACTCGCATGATCTTCATTCCATGTCGGGTCTAGGACCTCATCATCCTCCACATCATCTTCCATCCACTCCTCAACCCTGCCCTCCTTGCCAGTCTGCACACTGCAGAAAGCCACAGCAGTTGGCACCTGTGTTTTTCCAGCATGTAAAGTCTGCAAAGGACATATTGAAATTGCTTTAGAATTGTATCCAGGCAATAGTTTTCCCTATAAACTGACCTCTCAGTTTGACCTGTGAGGGTATTGCCCCAGAATTACAATATTGTTTAAGTACCTCTTAGCTATTGATAACTGGTTTTAAATATAGCAGCTTGTTATCTGGTAGTTTCTAGTGTAGAAAATATCACTGTTTTCTATCACTTAGATCTGTTTAACAAGTGTTGTAGGTGTGAAACAATATTACAAGTGACCGATGTAGTAAATTCGAATCAAAGTTCCATTTGCAAAAAAAAAATTCTCGTCCATCTTCTGTGGGTTATTGCATTTTTAAGATGTAGACTTATTGTATCACACTAGCCATGCACAGGTAGATTGTCTGGCACATTGTTTTGGTGTTTGGTTTTTAACTTTGTAGGTGTGACTTTACACAATATAGAAATGTATATTAATGCTTCTGTATATGAAGCGATCACAATAACACTTTTTCACTTTTTAAACAAAAATTGGTAATTAACAATATGACATCTGAAAAGCACATGAAAGGATGCTGTATGATTTTAAAAAAGAACACACTACATGAAGGTCCTGTTCACTAGAGTGTGCAGTCATGAATGTAACCAGTAAAACTTAGTTTTTACAGCCACTGGTTGGCCCATACATATTTTAAAACTTGTTTAATTTTGTTATAGCATGACTTGTAGTCTTTTTTTTTAACTTGTCTATAATACATATTTTTGTATGACACTTAGCGTGTGTTTTAATTGATTATTGAATTTGAATGGTCTAAGATAATTAACGTGTCAACAGGCAAACGTAACGTGAATGATTTGTCTCAGTCTTGCCTTCTGTACTTCCTGCACCCTAGGCAACATTTATTTGTCTTTAGACTTTCGTGAGAAGCGGTAACTAGCCAGTGTTGCGCACATACACCAGATATGAAGTGCACACCCCAAATGTACTATTAAGCACACAAAAAAATTGAATTTTTAAAATTCCGATGTAACCACAGTATTTGACGGTTCTATTTGACTCTCAGATATGAAGTGCACCGCAGGCAGCAAATGTACTATTTAGCACCAAAAAAATTAGAATTTTTTAAAGTGCGATGTAACCACAGTATTTGATGGTTCTATTTGACTCTCAGATATGAAGTACACGCCCCAAATTTACTTTTTAGCACCAAAAAAATTTGAATTGGTCAAACTGCGATGAAACCACAGTATTTGACGGTTCTATTTGACTCTCAGATATGAAGTGCACCACAGGCCGCCAATGTACTATTTAGCACAAAAAAGTATGATTTTTTTTTTTAAAACCAACAATGTAACAGGAGTATTTAAGGGTTTTAATGGACTGCAAATACCCTAAAAGATGGCAAATAGTTCATATAGAGTAGGGGTAAAAACTGTGCTAAAAAATTCCGATATGAAGTGCACACCCCAAATGTACTATTTAGCACCCAAAAAATGTGAATTAGTCACACTGCAATGTCACAGCAGTATTTGATGGTTCTATTTGACTCTCAGATATGAAGTGCAATACTGGTGTTGCAATACTTTCTCACTTCCTGGCTAATTCCTGGCCAAAAGAAACTCTGGGTCAGTCGGTACTGGGTGTGACTGACACCCAAATGTCCAGATAGCGGAATGTCGTGTGCTATTCGGAGCAATTCGGATCGGTACCGCTGCGGTACCACTACTTGTCTCATAATAATCGGGTCTGACCCGGCTACCTGTTTGTCAGACTCCCTGTACAATAGCTGTTTGTCCCATATGAACCTCTCACCCTCTGCCCCAGGTTGGTCAGAGGTGACCATGTCTCTATATACTTGTAGGTAGGGTCAGTGATCACCTCTGCCGCAAATTCGTTAGGGGGAGCCCAGGAAGGTACCACCATGGGAACACGTTTTGCGCCACGCTATGCTAACCTGTTTATGGGCAAGTGGGAGGATGAATTTATTTGGAACCACTGCCCACTTGGCCACATAGAATTTTTAGATTTGGAAAAATGTAGACTGTAACAGTTTTATACCTTTTAACAGCTACCACAAACGTACTTGGCTTGAGAATATACCATATGGACAATTCAGAAGAATAAAAAGAAACTGCTCAGAATTGGACGTATGTCAGAATCAGATGCAAGAAATTAAACAGAGATTTAAGGAAAAAGTATAACCTGAACCACTCTTAGAAAAAGCGATGGACAAAGCCATATCCATACCAAGAGAGGAAACACTTACCAAAAAGACAACTCAATTAGAAGATCAACAGAGAGCTCCAGCATTCATTACTAGGTTTAGTATCCAGTCGAACAATATCAAGAAAATATTACATAAACATTGGGACATACTAAGAAGCGATCAAGCACTCAATCTTGTTTTAGAGGATCGACCCAACATTATCCTCTCGCAGGGCCATATCTGAAGCTTATGTTAGCTCCAACAGATAACTCTAAGAACCATACTCAGGGGAATACACAAACCAAAGTCTTTTCGAGATGTAAAACATGTATAGGTTCTAGAAACAATCCTGATCTGGACCACATCCAGATTAAATTCTACTCTCTAGACAACCAGAAGAAATATACGGTAAAATCGGACATGGACTGTAATACTACAGGGGTCATTTATCTACTAACATGCCCCTGTCCAAAGCAATATTTAGGGAGAACGAAAAGATCGCTTAAGATTACAGTATCAGAGCACATAAGAAACATCAAAAAAGGATTGCTCACACACAATCTCTCAAAACATTTCAATGATGAGCACGATAGAAATCCAGCTGGCCTGAAAGTCCTACCTATTGAAAAAATAAACGTACATTGGAGAGGAGGAGATCTAGAAAAAAAATCTGGATCAAGCAGAAGCAAGATGGATCTACACTCTCAATACTCTAGTCCCTAATGCCTAATGGTTTGAATGTCGATTTCGAATTGAATGCATTTTTATAATGACCTTTAGTTAAGATTTTTATGATCATTTTTTATTCTTATATAATTATATTCCTCATAGCTTGACTTTTATTCTTTATTCTTTATATTATATATGTTTTTTAAGTGGTATGTATGCTTTGTATGTAACATGTATACTTTTTTATACAATTTTTGAGCATATGAATCACCTTTTTTTATATCATTTTTTTATTTCACCATCTTTTTGCAGAATCATTTTTATTCAATGATTTGATTACTATTTACAAGCATGTGAACCCTATATACAGTCATGTAATTTTAATATGCTTATATATTCTTATTTATCTTTTATTTGAATCATTTTATGTGAATTATTTTATGATATTACTGAATGTCATGATTACTTTTAGAAAGCATATTAACCCTGTATACAGCACTGTTGCTTTAACTAACTATAGTAATAACCGGATACTATCTGTCTTTATTGGGTTTGAAGAGATGGCTGTGGTCCCACAGCTGTGTATTTTCTATATACACAGTAGTGTGTGTATTCCCCCTTTGCTACATATGTGGACTATTATGAGGACTTATTTTATCTGATTTCAGTTTTTATGAACTTGCACATTTTGATCTATATCATAGATCCTCTATATCAGGGGTAGGCAACCTACAGCACTAGTGCCATGCACGGCACTCGAGGTGCCTTTACACGACACTCAAAGCTACAAGAGCCAAACAGGCTCTGGCCTGTCAGGAGTCCCAGTGAAACTTCAGATATCTGCTAATACGAAAAGGTGGTGAAGGACAATCCTCCATTTATGCATTGCAGCACGTAGAGGAAGTGATCTCAGATCACTTCCTCCCAGCACTTGTGAATAGGAATCCACACTGAAGTAGAGCAGCCCACAGCCTCCTGTTGCAGCTTCTGTCCTTGAGCTGTACCTGGCCAGCCTGGTCCCCACTAAAACCCAGGGAAGCCTCAGAGCTGCAGAATAACCCTCCTCTCATACAAATAATACAAACACACACAGTCCGCACACACACAACACCACCAACAATCCACATACATGCACACAACTCCACATGCAGCCTCTCACATGCAATACCCCAAACAGCCCCACACATACACACACTACCAAATACACAATGTGACATATCCATCCACACACAATTCCACAAGCAGCCCCCATACACAGCCCAAATTCATAGGTATTATACATGATACCACAAACTATTAATGAACATATACAATATAATAGCTTATATACGCACAAATACAATGATACAAAGCAAATGCAGTATAAATAACACAAGCAGAATATGGCAACATACACACCTCAATTTAAAGAAATAGGACCGACACGCTACAGGACATAACAATCATATTTTGGCACAGTGCTGCTAAAAGGTTGCCTACCCCTACTCTATATGAACTATTTGCCATCTTTTAGGGGTCAGCAACTAAGTATTTATTTATTTTGGATGAAGTATCTATTTTATACAATTTGTATCATTTGCACTTATTGTTACTAACATACTAGCTCCTGATATATCTTGGAATTTTAAC